ACAGAAGCATAGCTCCTTACCCCAGGCAGTCATTCAACCCCCAGGACAGCACTGCCTGTAGTCACAGCTATTTTCGCACCCCCTTTTCGCCCCAAAGGCGGCGCCAAGGGCAGCACAAGTTGCCCTCTCCGTTAGTTAAGCTACTGATTCAATGACATTTAGAAACAATACAAGGAAATACTTTTGTCATAAAGTGTAATGAATCTGTGAAACTCATCCTATGAATATGGCTGAAGATAAAAACTTAACTAGATATAGCGAGGAAAGGGGCTTGGACATTTATATGGAAAACAACAATACTGTATCTAGTTACAAGTATCTAAAGCTGGTGCATTTTGAAACTGAACTCTAATTTAATCCAGACTCCAGCTCTTCAGAATGAGAGGAGATGTAATGTGGAAGATAAATTATATTGTGTGTCTAATGTTGAGGTTTCTTGTACCTTTTTCTGAAGAAAATAATACAGGCCACTGCTGAAGGTAGCACCCTGGATGAGAACAACCATGGTACCAATCCGGTGTTGCAGTTGCAGTGTTTGTGAACATGCTCAAAAGGCAAAAATCTTTCAGAATTACTCATGAAAAGGCTTCTCATTTCAGGACAGGGTGGGCAAAAGCACAATATTCCAGCTGACAGTTTAAAGCAGGGGCAGGCAAAATGCAGCCCAGGGGCCAGATGTGGCCTGCCAGGCCATTCTATCCAGCCCGCAGGGCCCCTAAAATATTTAGAAAATTAATATTTATCTGCCCTGAGCTGCCTGTCATGCGGCCCTCAATGGCTTGCCAAGACGCAGTGAGCAGCCCTCTGCCCAAAATAATTGCCCGCCCCTGGTTTAAAGCAATGACTCTCAACCAGGGTGTCAGGGCACCCAGGTTGCTGCAAAAACCTTCAAGGGTGCTGCAGGAAGTGTGAGGAGATAAAAAGATAAAGGCAAGCTCAGTTTTCAGGTGTGAGGAGATAAAAGTAGGCTCAGGCTCTCCTTGCCTGGCTGCTCCCCTCTCCAGCTTCCCCCCCCTCCCCCCGCAAAGCAATAAGCCCCATAATAAATACATTAAATTTTGAAGTGGGAGGCCTTTCAATTCACAAAAGGCATGGAAGGGTGCCTCCTGTCTGCAAGGAGTGCCTTGAATCTAAAAAGGCTGAGAACCACTGGTCTAGAGAGCTAGGGATAGAAATTACACATAAACTGGTTTTAGTAATCAGAAACTGATTTAAACGGGTAACGGAACAGAAGTTCAGCGCACATAAACCACTTTCAAAATGGCCAGAATTGGTTTAAAATAAACCCGGTTGAATGTAGCTTAGCTTATTTAAGCTACTTATTTAAGCCAGCTACTTATTTAAGCCATAAGCTGTTACACTTACTATTTAAGCCAGACTTAACTTATTTATGTCAAACCAGTTTAAAGAACTTCTGTCACTGACCCCTTCCTGGTTTAAGTTATCTTACAGTCCCCCAGCATCCCAGCGGTAAGCAGGAAAAAAGCCTGGCAGGGGCTGCTGCTCTCCTGTGAGGCAGACCCTCACTGGGGTCCATGCTGGTCTTGGCCTCAGGGTGCCCCCGCCCATGCCACTAGAGGAGCAAGCAGAGAACAGCCTGGCAGGGGCTGCTTCCCCGCTCCAGGCACACCCTGGCTGAGGACTGTGCAGGCCAGAGTGGGGATTTAAACCCCTCTCCAATCATACTCAGTGTCCTGCCAAGGCCTGGCCATGACCCCCCTGCTCCACTAGCTTGAGCAGGGAAGAGGAAAAAGCCTGAAGGGCTTCTCTCCTAGCTTCCCTCCACCCTTTCTGCCACTGCCAAAGGGAAGGGAGGGCCTGCTCTAGCCCTGCCCCCCCCCCCCCCAGGCTTCTAGCCTTAGCCACTGCATGCATTTCAAAAGTGAATGCCTTTTCACCTGCTTCTCAGTTCAGCCTATGCAGTTTAGACTAACTTGCAAAGACTGAATCAATTCAGGCTCAGGCTTTTTGAATGTTTGTCCTTAGCTGAGAAGACAACTACAGCACCTCATCGCACCACCTCAGAAACTGAGCAATTCATTTGGGACTTTCCTCTGCCCATTAATAACAACAAGGCTGACTCGGGTGGAAGACAAATTCTTACGAAATTCCTATGAAGCTAGGTATGTTCATTCTGTCCTCTGTAATTGATTTCAGAACAGAATCTTTCCCTAGCAGTGATACTTCTGGGGAAATGGTAATCTGTGCTATTATGTAGGCTACATATGTGCTATGTTTAAGATAAAACAGGCAGGCATGTTTATTTGGGTAAATGTGATATCTTTTATTAGACCAACTGAATAGTGGAAAAAATGTTCTTACAACATTTCAGGCACAGGCGCCTGAAAAATACTACATTTACCCAAATAACCTTGTCTGCCTGTGTCCTTAGACCAGCACAGCTAGAACCAACACCCCTCAGATAAAAATGTGTGCTTAAATACCTGCCAAATCAGTTATGTACAATGGCTAAACATGGATTGGGATCCAGGAAAGTCTCATAACTTAATCTCGGTTCAGACATTGATTTGTTGTATGGCCTCATGCACACTGATCAACATATCCCAAGCTCCCCAGCTATAAAATGGGAATAATACTTATACTCAAGGACCATGCACAGATTAATTGGTGCCTGGGGAAAAAAAACTTGCAGATTTAAAGGCTTGTATAACTGCTAAATATTGTTATAGATATTACCAAATTTTTTCAACTATAAGGCATACTATTATTTAAGACACACTTAAATTGTCAGACTCAATTTAAAGAAAAAAAATAAAGCTTCAATTAAGGCACTTCTATAATGCATATTAGAGCTCTCTACTTTTTCTTTTTCACTCAAACTTAAGACAGGTATTTTTAGAGGAAATATTTCCTTTTAAAGTGTCTTGTATGCAAAGGAATATATTTTATCTTAGGGTGGCACTTAAGAGACTCCAGTCAAGATCAGGGTTGCATTGTGCAAGGCAATCCACACATATGAGACAGATGAAGAATGTCAATCCCTCTGCTTCCACCCCACCTTCTTCATTTTGTAGATGGGGAACTGCCTAACAAAAAGATTGGTATGATTACTCCAAGTCCAAGTATGAACTCGTGTGATTACAACCAGTGTAAATGTTTATAACCAAAAGTTGAAAGCAAAGAGGCAGAAAAGTTGAAAGGCTATTTCTCTCAAATCCTCAAAGAACAATTGCTATGTTATAAAATTCAGCCCTGCAAGATGCTGTGTAGGATTGGATACTAGATTCAGGTCCTCTTTTATGATTATAGAAACATGTAGTCTAATATTTTGAACTAAATGAGAAAGATTTTCAAAAGAAGCATCACCCAGGATATGAGGAAGAGATTCAGTAGAGTGCTATTTTGCCAGTATTTTTATCCAAAGCAGATTAAGGATTAAATATGGTTTAAGTAAAATTATCATAATGGGCAAAATATGGAAAACTTTTTCAATTAATTTGTATTTTTGCTGGAAAAACTTGGCTATAAAGGGTTCAACCAGCTCTGTTCAGCTGTTCTCGAAATTAAGTCCCTGTTTTATTGCTGCTTATGGAGGGGATGAGGAGAAATATGGCTAAAAGTAAAGACCTACCAGAAGCACTGAATTAAACTGGAGCAAATACAAATCGCTAATTTAAATTCAAATCCCTTCCTCCTCCCTGGAGTACTTGTACAGTAATAAAACATGCTCTTTTGCGGTATGGCAGAAATTTGTGAGAAAAATCTGCTTGACTCATCCCTACATCTAGTTATCCCCCTTGCTACAAAGACAACGCATGAGGATAGATGAGCAAAGGCAAGGATCTGGAAAGGAGGTCAACTGATAAAACAGGAGCTGCTGATATCAACAACAAAAATTAATAGGCACCATGAATTTCCTTCCATTGCCTGCCTGACCAATTTCTAGACAGGGCATTTTGTTATAACTTGGAGCTAGCACTTAATTAGAGAACAATCCTTATTAGACAATACTTTGTTGAACAGAAGTGTGAAGATGTTTGTTTCAGTGCTAGATGCTGTTATTTTAAGGTGTGATACTTAAGTGCACTGAGTGCCTACGGCAGACAAGAGTTTTGAGCTTCTGAGACGAAGGGTCAGCAACTTGCAGAGCTGTAAATCCTGCTGAGCTGGAAAACTTGAAAAAGTCCCCCATGCCTATTGGGCCCAGTTCTCCTCCTACTGAAGTTGCTAATTTAATGGGAGCAGGACCAGGCTTCCTGCTGTCTGTGGCATTTATAAGTCCAAGTATTACTAGAAAAAAAGAACTGAGGATGAACCGGTTCCATTGAAGTAGCCACGTCTGGGGTAAGTTTATGAGGACTTATAAGGGCAGGACTTTTTTCCTCTGGATCACTTCAAGAAACAGCTGGCACACAGTTTGCTACCCCAGATCCCAAACTCCCTGGACCAGATTCTCTGCTCTGACCACTCTCCCCAAGGTACCTCGGTCTTAATTGGAGCCTCTTCATGCTATCGAAGAGCAACAAATAAATAAATAATGGAGAGCATTGGGATAGAGTTGGGTCTAAAATAAGACTATCCCCTCAAACGAGTATCACTGCAAAGTTGAAAACAAGCCACCTAGATTTAGCTGGAAGTGAATTAGCTACCCCCTGCCAATGATTACTTTACTTCCCTGGAATTTCTATCTACATAGTAATGACAGAATGAAGTACAGTACATTATTTCCCATTCATTGAAGGCTAAAATGCCTTTACCGATGGTTAATAACTTGGCTCCTTCAAAAATAATATCTGCCACACTGTGATAATTCTCAATAATTAGTTTAATAATTGGTTAGCATTTAACCTACCGTAAATGTAACAGCCAAGCTAAATTAAATATGCATTTAAGAGCTTTAAAAATATGCCTTTTGCATGTATATACCAACTAATATATTTACATACCCAGGCCTTGTTCTATTTTGAAACTATCAAATAATGTGTTAAAGGCTGTGAAAACAGGTCCTTAGTGCCCTGCTCCCTAACAAGGCTGTCACAATGTTATCTTTGCTATGAATTAAACATTTAGAAAGGAGTAAGTACGCTTTTTTGTGAGCCTGTGTGGAACGCAACCTGTGGAACAGACGGGCATGAATGACATGAGGAGCTGGAGGCAAAGAGCTTTGTAAGTTTTAATAAAAGGCACATGAACGAAAATACCATGTGCCCTCACAGCATTTGTACATAAATGATACAATACTACAAAACAAAGTAGATCATCAGATCCAATCAGACAGTTGCTTCCCACCTCTTAAGAAAGTATCACATGCGCACATGCCATTGGAGGGCCACCAGCCTCCAGTATCAGTCAGTGCTGGATGCAGACTACTAGTTATATAGACCGTTGGTCTGTTCCAGTACAATAAGTCCAATGCTTTTACAATGCTGAGTTAAACACATTCTCAGAAATAGAAGCAACACAAAGCCAGGTTTTTTTTTCTTGGTTTTGTGTTGCTTAGTTGAGAGTTCCTAAGAATAAAGCTTTAAAAGTGGTTCCACCCTTTTCTCAGAAACAAGCTCAGCTGTATAAAGGAGAAAGACTCAGAGCCAGGATCTTCTCTCACCTCTGCAACACATGTCCAGAATACCTCCACTGAGGTCAGATCCTCCAACCCAGCATCTGCCTCCTAACCAGGACCAATATGCATGAGCTTCTTTCCGAAACTTTCTGGAGAGGATCCATCAGGCAGTGACAGAGTTAACAGGGCTGTGCAAGTAAGTTGATCTGTAAGCCAGTAACATAGATAGACAGTTGTTAAAGTTCTCAATAGGGCTGCATTTTGGGGAGGGAGTGAGCTGTCATCCCTTCAGCTGTGCAGAACTGATCTTGCCTACAAAGGGTCACAAATACAAGGTTAGTGGTACTCAAGAATTAACAATCTGCTCTAGATTTTGCTTAATAAATGACGGCTCAGTTAAACTGATTATAACCCTCCCTCGTTAGTGGGGAGAGGGTCCAAAGTATATCGACCAGGATTACTAGGCAAAAGTACAGTACAAAATCTGTGTCCGTGCAGGACAAATAAGCCTCAGTGAGCTTTCGGAAGGAAGGTTTCAGGGTTATCAACATGTAGTTCAACATCAGAAGAAAAAGGATTTCTGGTAAATAGGATCTTGTCGGGATCACACACCCACACACACACACACACACACACCCCCTCTGAATGTGTTAAGGAACTACACTTGTTTCCACAAGCCATGACCTGAATCCAGAATTCATACATGTTTCAGTTCAAATGAAGAGGCAGCTGAAAAAGAAGCTAAACAGGTTGAGTGACTTCACATTGTGGGAGGAATAATGATTACTTTTGGGGCTGTTTTGGATAATCCAGGCAGGTGAGGATGCAACTGCAGAGCTCCTTAACTAGGTATAAGAATAATATTTGTATTTTGAATGGCTTTATAGAATTGCTGTTAAAAACTAGTAGAAAGCAAGCTTATTTAGGAAGGATCTTGAAAAAGAAACAGCATGTGGGTGTTGTAAGATGTGGGTGTGTACGCGTGTGAGTGTGCGTGTGTTTAGCTAAGCAGTAATAGAGACAGAGTGTGTGAATAAGGTTTAATATGATGTTTACCTCATCTCCTAACCAGGTGGAAATTTTTTATTATTGTATTCATAACTAACATGGTAGGCAGGAGACTGCGTAGCATTAAAGCGTTAAAGTGTTCAGATGCTACACGCAAGAAGGAACGTTCCCGTCCTGTTTCAGTCAGTCAATGATGCTTTGATTTGCAGGCATGAATTAATATGGTTAACTCATTCTAACCTACAGTTATTTATCTGCCCCAGCAAACAGAGCCCGGATCTGTTCTGCAACCGATTTGAGCCTGAATACACTTCTTCTCGCTAGTACTGAATCATAAATGACTCACTTCAGACTTGGATGTGAGAGCAAAGTATACATTTGCAAACTGGCTCATGAGACATTGCTTTGCAATGTAGGTGGGATACATTACATACTGTAGCAGTCAAGTTCTGCTCTTTTTTTTTTTCCTCCTCCCTGTTGCTTCATGCAGGATGGTGTTCTGATCCTAGGATTACAGCATCGTTTTTGAGGGTATGAAAAGGAGCCACCTATGCTCAAGTGAATGTATCATGTGGACTTTTCTGGCCTGGCTTACAACTCGAGTTCTCCACTGAAGATGGATGATTTAGCTTTACTTGACCTGCTGGAGTGTCCTGTGTGCTTTGAAAAGCTAGATGTCACAGCCAAGGTGCTACCATGCCAGCACACCTTCTGCAAGCCTTGTCTGCAGAGAATACTGAAATCCCAGAAGGAGCTGAGATGCCCAGAATGCAGAACTCTTGTCTTCTGCAGTATTGAAGAGTTACCGTCCAACTTGCTTCTAATTCGCTTACTGGATGGTGTCAGATGTGGACAAAATGTTACGAGATTTGGTTCACTCCAAAGATCTGGGGTTCTGTCCTCTCCTGCCTCCATCAGGAGAGTCCCAAGAGGTTTACAACTTAATCAATACAGACTGGCACCAACTCCCAGGATCCATATGGAAGGGGTAAGAAGGGTTCATGTTTCTTAGTATCTTCATAGGCAAAGAAAGTTGCAACATTATGTGCCAAAAGCTGTGAAACCCTTCATGTTAGTAACACTGAAAAAATACTTGAGAGAGAGTGAGATTATTTTCACTTGATAAAGCTGTCTGCTTTCTCCCTGTGATATTTGGATATTTTGAGTTGATCTCAGCACTAACTACGTTCAATCTTAAGCTTATCCAAAAATAGCTTGCCTTTCTGAGTGCAAAGATTTCAAGAAGGCAATTTCAGGAATTTTCTGGTGCTACCTGACATCAGTCAGGCCAGCAATATTGTGTGCTCCAACTTTCAGGTGATATTTTGCTGTGTCTATCACCTGTCCAAAGTCAAGACTGCATTAAGTCAAGAATGCAGACTCACAGAAGTTAGAGCTTCAAAAGCCTTCATATTTCGTGTCTCTCCTTCCTGAGTTCTATTGATAGAAAATGCTATGCAAGACCAAGGCAGTTAAATAAGGTATTACTATTATTTTTTCCTAGGACAGTTTTTCCCTTAATGCTTTGTCCAGTCTGATTTTAAAGTCCCACATTGTTTCTGCCATTTCCCATAAGGGTACCATTGTTTTTACTATATAATGAACATTAGGTATGATATTATAATATATAGTTAATATCTGTGCTAAACAAATGATACAATATAGTCTTATTATATGACAGTTACACACAATACAATTAAATGCTAGTTGTATTTTACCTTCTAAAGAAGTGTGGGTTCATCTGCATTTGCAGTAAAGATTGATATGAAGTTTAAATTTTACCTGCACTAGACCTCCTGTTCCTGATGTGCCATTTCTTCCATCCTGAGGCACTCGTTGTATAATGTGAGCCTGAATTCTTCAACATTCAAAATGTTTGACTTCAAAGGCTTGCAAAGGCATAGAGTATTTGGGCAGTGATAGAGAGATAAACTGGCAAATGAATATATAGTATGAAAATATTCACTAAAACGCATGTGCTTGGCCTATATGGAAAAGTTTGCATTTCTATGCGAATATATTTGTATATACTTAGAACTATATATAGTACATTCAAGTGAAGCCTATTGAAGTACAATTTGGTATATGCATTCCACAAAATTTTTTAACCTTGATTCTGTTAAAAACTCTTCTTGCAGACACAACATTAAGATGATATTTGGAGAATGTGTCTAAGATTTTCTGTTGGTATAAGAAAATGTAAATTGTTGCCCCTGAAGTTTATGCACTGGAATTCCTTCTGGTGTGGCCACCAAACAGCAAAGCTGGTTTAAGGGCATGGGTGACCGGTTATTATTAATCAGTGTTTTAAATCCAGCCCACTTGTGTAGTGATCAACAAATTCCCACATCTTACAACAAGAAGATGGGACGTATGAAATGTTTACCTCTTCAAGCTAGCTTTCTGAAGACAAATGTCGCACAGTTGATATTATTGTTAGTCTTGTTATAGCTTTATGCAAGAGTTTTCATTTTCCTCAGCTTTAACAACTTTTAGGTCAGGACAGAAGCATGTCAAAGGGGGGATAATGTGGACACGCTTAACCTGTTTTGTGGTAGATGAGAGCTAGTGGTTCCAGGACAGTCAAGCCTTTTATCAGCACTAAGTTCATATTTAAAAGTATTTATAATTGTTAGAAGTTATAGAAAGGACTGAAGACTGGCTTTGATTATTTATTTGGTACATTCCAGATGGGTAATATGCAGAGAAATACGGAAATGAAACTCAACAACAGCTTGGTTACTTGTGATCTCCTTGGCTAGGGATAGAAATTACACAGAAACTGGTAAAAATGATCAGAAACCAGTTCAGATCTGTAACGCAAAAGTTCAGTGCACATAAACTGCTTTCAAAATGGCCAAAACCAGTTTAAGATAAACCTGGATGGATGTAGTATCGGACTTAACTGATTTAGGTTAAATCGGTTTATTGAACTTCTGTCCCAGATCCCTTCAAATTCAAGTTAATTCACAGTCCCCCCCAGCATCCCAGGATGCTTTGCACCTCCCCCATAAACCCCGCCCTTCCCCCCTCACAGGGTGGGCTAGCTTTGGCCCAAGCTGTCTGCTCCGGTCTTCTGACCTGAGCCATGGCAGGCATGTGGCTGCGTTTCCAGAATCAATAGTGAATGTCTGCTCATTTGTTTTCTGGTTCAATCTATGAAGCTTAAACTAACCTGTGACAATTGAATGGATTCAGCCGCAGGCTTTTTGACTGTCTGCACTTAGCCCTTGTGACAATGAACAGTGAAAGGTGGGGACTAGTCAACGCCAGTGTTGACAGAAACAAAACATGTCCCAGTGACTGCGGAGCCTACTGGCAGATATTTTTGTAACCCCAACAGGAGAAAGCAAATGCGCTGACCACATCGCTGCTAGTGGAGGGCTTTCATTTCTGCCCCATTAGAATACTGGCCAGAGAAAAACTGGAGTCAGTTAGTGTGGAGGAAAATTATCCAGTTCTTTTGTGCATGCACATATGCACGTGCACATACACGCACACGTTCTTCCAGAAATCATGTTCAACTCATATCATTAATCACTAAAAGGCTGAACTGAAATATTCAGTTAATATACAAATTAAGGAAGGAAAACACAAGACATACAAAAAAGAAAGCAACCTTCTACTGCTATTTAGATTACCATTTCATCTTTTTACATTATCACACGTGTGAATTAAGGGCAGGTAAACATAATTTGTCCTAGGGTCTAAAGCTGTCTGTTCATAGAATAAGCATGGATTGGGCTATCTCAACTCCTCTCAAGAACTGGGACTTCCCAACCAAAGAACCCCTCGTGGGCACTTCAGCTTGCATCACCTCACAAACTTTGGCCACTGTATCATGCCTGCCAACAAGAGTGACAGCTGGTGCCAAAGATGCCAAAGTACTCAAAGATGCATTTTCTGATACAAAACAGCACTTTGCTAGGAGTTTAAATTAGTCACTGATTTATTTCATGCAAGCTGCGAGTCATCACACAGCTATAGTTTTCAGCCACTATCACTGTGGGCTGGATTAGACCCTAGAGTGAAGTTTCATAATTTATCCCATTCAACAGGCTTGAGTCATCCAGGCTGCAGTGAAAAGCATAAATACCTTTAAAGCCATCCTCCTTTTCTTTCTTTCTTTTTTCCAACCCCCTCTCCCCGTGCCTCAGATTTTACCTTCTAGCCTTCAGGACAAGTGAAAACCTGTTACAAATGTTTTGTAACAGTGTCATTCATCCATTTGCTGCTAACAGAAACAGTAAAGATGAACTCAGAGTCAAAACAGCCAGTCAGGTTATTCTCCTACTAGTTAATGGCAAGTGTTGGCCGTATTGCTGTAGTGTTGCCACAGTGAGGAAGGCATTTAACTTCCCCATGCCTCAGTTCACTCATCTGTATAAAGGCTATAACTATATATTATATAGGAATACTGAAAAACTTAATTAACTAATGAATAATATAAAGCACCAAGATATTTTTTGGCTGTGGGGTGCAGAATAGTCCACACCAAGGATGCCTTGTGCTTGGTAATTCCATATACGAGCCACTGTGACACATTTCATTTGCCACCCTGATGGATCATGCTTGCACACATAGTAGATCTAGCTGTTAATCCTAACAATTAACCTCAGAAATGCTGATGTAGTGAGAATGAAAGGGTAAGAAACAATGACTTTATCTTGCCTCTGTAGCATGCCAGTTGTTTTAATCGTTGAGAGAAGCTGGAATAATCTGAGGCTTCAAAGCAGTTTGGTCTTTCATGTGATGTTGCTGATGCTGTGCTATATTTATCTGGAGAAGAATGTATTAGGAGCAAAAGCAGACTGGGAGGAAGGTTGGTTCTGACAGCACATGCGTAGGGATCTGGGGATCTCAGATCCAGCTCTTCCCTCATAGTTCGTGTGATTTTATGCAAACACCAGATGACAAGTGAGTCAATGGGGATTATCTCCAGTGCCTTAGCTCCCCCAGCTCTAGAATAGTGATAAATAGACTCCCAAGGCTTAGAAGGACAGTGTGAAGCTAGAATTAATTTATGTTTGTAAAGCACTTAAAAACCTTGGGCTAAAAAGTCCCGGCAGTTCCTTTTATAAAGCCCATTTAAATCAATGGGAGCCTTCATAGGCTTAAAGTCAGGCCTCAGATGTACACAGCATTGTTATTGTAGAGCCAGTGTGAAGAAATCTTGCAAGACTGCAATCTTGTGGGTATTTTTTAGACCTCACAGGCCGCGTCTACATGAGATGCTGACTGCACAGTAGCCCAAGTCTACTGCATGGTGGCATCGCGTGGCAGCAATCGTGATGCGACACTACAGGACAGTAGTCTTGGGCTACTGCGCTGTCAACATCACAAAAAAGCTGTTCATCAATGCTGCTGCTCAGTAACTTGGATTAGTATGTGTTTATACTTGTAGTACTTCATTTAGTACTTGTTTATACAAGTATCCAATGACTGCCAGTAACGACTGTGCAGTCAGCATCTCGTGTAGATGCAGCCAGTGTAGAGAAACAAGTTTGACTTTCTGGGTTGTTTTCCCACTCTTCTCACCCCTTCAGCTAGCTTTGATAATGCTCTTGAAATGACTTGATTACAAAACAACAGAGTTTAATGATGAATAGTGGAAAATGCTGGCCAGATGCAGAGAAAACTCTTGAAACATACTGCTGTCTGGCTCCCTCTTTGTAATGATTCAAATTGGTGACTCTTCTCAGTTGAAGATTTTTGGAAAAACAAGCTGGTGAAAAAAAATGTAATCATTCCCAAGAGAAAACCCATTACTGCCTTTTCTTTACTGAAATTTCCCATCTGATGCAGAGTAACAAATGAGGCTGCCATAGCCATCTTCAAAGTCTTTTTAAGAATGCTTAGGAGGAAAAGTGTTCATACCCGAAAGCTTGCAAAAAACAATTTTTCCAACTATTTAGTTGGTCTAATAAAATATATCATATTTAACCAAAGAACTTTGTTTGCCTATGTCCTTAGACCAACACAACTGCAACCAACACCCCTAAGACCTCTTAAAGAACTTTTAACAATTCACAATTTAACCTGCCCTCTCCTGGAACAGTATATATGCAATGAGACAAGCTCACCCCCACCCGTGCCCACACACACACACACCTTCTGTCATTTCATCTAATCCCTAACACCTCCCCTGTCCAATCTTTCATCTTTCAGCACCATGCAGATAATACATTCCTGCTGTGCAATAAACAACTCTCTCCCCCATATCAGCAAACAATTCACTTACAGACTAGATCCATGGGAACAATTTTGCACAGGGTGCACAGGACATGAGTTCACTCTTGTTTACACCATGGGATGATGTTTTGTAGCATATCTTTGGGGACATTCTGTCCAGACCTTTAGCACTTCTGAGAAGGTAGCTATCAAGAGAGAGGCAAGATAATTATTGTATTTTAAATTGTTGGGGAGTTATCCAAAGCACACTGCAGTCAACAGAAAAGCTACCATGGCAATGAATGAGCTTTGGATAAGGGCTTTGGATAGTTCCTTATTATAAACATCTAATTTTGACATCTTTCTGAGGACAGCCATTTATACAATCCTATTCCCTATTAGTTAATTCAAGAACAATATTAGTCCATTTCTTGAGTGTGCACAGATGTCATGCCCATTTGCAACTGCAATGAGAAGATCAAGTAAGCCCCAATGGAAGTGTTCTCTCTTTCCTACATGGAAAACAGTGAATTGACCTCTTCATCTCCTCTTGATTGTCATAAAATGCTAATTGTCATTGATCAGATGTGCCATTTCATCCTACAAAGCTAATAACAAGATCTAGATGCCATGCCATGCTGTGCCAAGGGGAATCATAAAGGCAGAGTACAGGATAACAGTACACTGTTCAATATCTTCATCAGTGATTTGGACGAGGGGGTGCAAAGCACCCTGTTCAAGTTTGCTGATGACACTAAGATGTGGGGGGAAGTGGGCACAATTGAGGGGAGCAACAGGCTACAGTTAGACCTAGATAGGTTACAAGGATGGGCGGAGGAGAACAGGATGGGGTTTAACACGGACAAGTGTAAGGTGATGCACCTGGGGAGGAACAATCGGCACCATACATACAGGCTGGGGAACTCCCCTCTTGTCAGCACGGAGGTGGAAAAGGATCTGGGAGTCATTATTGACTCCAAGATGAACATGAGTCGGCAATGTGGGGAGGCGGCTAGGAAGGCCAACTGCACCTTGTCGTGCATCCACAGATGCATCTCGAGCAGGTCCAAGGAGGTGATCCTCCCCCTCTATG